CCCCCCACCCGGTCCCGATTCCTCGTGCCAGCCACTCACTATCGGCATCTCTCTGTGACTAGTACTTGGACACTGTTGAACAGCTTTATTATCTGCTGTATGATGGGATGGAGCTCACCTGCAGCTCTTTCGGCCTCATCTAGATCACCTTGCCTCGAGCAGGAGAAGTGCACAAGACAATGTTCAAGTCTCTTCCAACCGTTCTTCTGTCATGCAATGAGTCTTTCCCTTGGACAGTTCATTGAAGATAGAAGAAGCAGAAGAAGGAGAAAAGAGAGAGACAGAAACAGAGAGATAAAATGTGCCAATCTAAATACAGTAGTTCTTCTGAGCACTGTTTCTCCCCTTGAAAAAAATGGTAAGAAAATGTATTTAGTTAAGTGGCTGCATAAAACTATTCACCCAGAGGGAGGGAGCATAATCAGCTCGCCAGTACGTGCCTTTGCTGCTGCTAATACAAAACTATGAAAAAATTTATAAACATTCTTGAAAATCTAGTCATGCTGGAAAGGAAGACGCTTTGTGTTATTATTTTGACTTTTCTGTACAGGATTCAAGTTGTTCCTGAAAATCTACATTCAGGGCTAGGTTCAGTTATATACATAGAGGTGGCCACTGGCCTATGTAGCTGAAGCACCCTTGTGGGGAATAGTAGAATTGTTCAAGTTGGAAAAGACCTTTGAGACCATCGAGTCCAACCATTAACCCAGCACTGCCAAGTCCACCACCGAAGAATCCACCTGCCTTTGAAATGCCTCCAGGGATGGTGACTCAAGAAACTGACACCCACCTTGCTACAATCTCCTTTTAGGTAGTTGTAGAGAGCGACAAGGTCTCTCCTCAGCCTCCTTTTCTACAGACTGAACAACCTCAGTTCCGTCTCGTAAGACTTGTGTTCCAGACCCTTCACCATCTTTGTTGTCTTTCTTTGGACATGCTCCAGCACCTCAATGTCTTTTTTGTAGTGAGGGGCCCAAAACTGAACACTGTATTTGTGGTGTGGTCTCACCAGTGCCAAGTACAGGAGAACGATCGCTTCCCTAGTCTTGCTGGTTACACTATTTCTGATACAAGTCAGGATGCTGCTGGCCTTCTTGGCTACCTGGACACACTGTTGGCTCATATTCAGGCAGTTGTCGATCAACACGCCTAAGTCCTTTTCCACTTCCAGCCACTCTTCCCAAAGGGTAGCATTGCATGGGGTTGTGGTGAGCCACGTGCAGGACCCGATGCTGAGCCTTACTGAACCTCATACAGTTGGCCTCAGCCCATCAAACCAGCCTGTCCATATCCCTCTGTAGAGCCTTCCTAGCCTCGAGCAGATCCACACTCCCGCCCAACTTGGTGTCTGCGAAATGACTGAGGGTGAATGCCATCCTCTTGTCCAGATCATTGAACAGAACTGGCCCCAGTACTGAGCCCTGGGGAACACCGCTTGTTATTGGCCACCAGTTGGAATGAACTCCATTCACCACAGCTCCTTGGGCCTGCCATCACCCTGTGAAGTGTGCACCCGTCCGAGCCATGAGCAGCCACTTTCTCCAGGAGAACGCTGTGGGAAACACTGTCAAAGGCTTTATTAAAGTCCAGGCAAACACAGTCCACAGCCTTTCCCTCAGCCACTAAGCAGCTCACCCTGTCATAGAATGAGACCAGGTAAATCAAGCAGAACCTGCTTTTCTTAAAGCCTTGACTGAGCCTAATCACCTGGTTATCCTAGAGGTACCACGTACACTCAAGATGATCTGCTCCATAACCTTCCCTGGCACCGAGGTCAGACCTGCAGGCCTGTAGTTCTCCAGCTCCTCCTCTGGCCCTTTTGTTGATGGGCATCTGTACTGGTTTTGGCTGGAATAGAGGTAAAAGTCTTCATAGTGTCTTGTATGGCGCTATGTTTTGGATTTGTGTTGGAATCAGCGTTGATAACACAGAGAGGTTTTTGTCAAGGCCTTTTTCGCTCTTCACATGAACCCATCAGCGAAGAGGCCAGAGGTGCTGTGTTGCTGAGCTCCTTCACACTGACTACTGTGGTTTCTACTTACATTGTATGCACCATCCTGAGGATAACCTCGGTGCAAAGCGACAACAAAGCCTTCTTCTCCTGGATATCCTTCACCTGCATATCCTATATTTCTTCACTGACTATTGCATGTGCTAGCTGCATGTCTGACGATGTGGGGCCTGAAGAGAAGCTGCTTTGTTGCTGTCAGCAATTTTGCAAGTTCCCCTAAGAAAGTGCATTCAAGAGAAGAACAATTTTCAATAATTTAGGTGTTACCCAACAGAGGAAGAAGACAGAACCCTTTGAGTGTTTGAACTGACCCAGAAAATGGAAACTGGGACTGTCACCTCTGATTCACTACACTCACACTGCTGTAGGTAGTAGTTTAATCTCCGTAGTGGTTTAATCTCAGACAGTTTTCCAGATGAACCCGTTGCAGAGATTCCCCTCTGCTAGACTAGAGTCAAAGAAGCAGACGGGCACTTGGGATCTAAGACTGGCGTAAGCCCCAAGCTAAAACATCAAAGCAAACATGGAGCACTGCCCTGCACCGAACTTCCCATTTTACTCCTGGGGTGTGCTGCCCACTCTGCCCTGGGACAGAGCCTGAGGAGAAAGCACAGTCTGTGGAGAAGCTTTGTTTCACTGCTTCAGACCCACCATCTCCTTCCCTCCCTCTTCTCCCCTTGCATTTTGAACTGTCCTATTTTGGAGTCATCTGCTCCTTTCTAGGTCTAGACACGTACGTAAAGATGAAGGGGGAAATGTCAGTCTTTATTGCAGATCGTTCTTTGTGCTTCCTTCACTTAGATGTCTATTTTGATTAAAAAAACCCCACTTAATAAATCAGTGATTTGAGACTTGAATAACGAGCTTTGTCTACTTCACTGCAGGTGCCTGTGAGACGTTGTTTTCCCAAGGCTCCCTCTATGATCAAGGGATACAAGAGAAAAAGCCGGAGGCTGGGTCGTCCCAGCCTAGAACTGGAGAGAAAAAGAAAGGTGACAGATCTCTTCCAAACACTCTTCTCTTGCTCTGTAGTTAGCTCAGGATGTTTGATAATAACAACAACGAGCAACCGTTTGGAAACAACTGCATTTGAGTGCACATGGGATGTGAGGTGAGACTATGTGACAGACTGTGTGGAACCACCATAAATTTCAGTCATTATTTAGAGTATTAAAGTCTCTACTCCAGTGCCCATTCCCCACCCTTTCTTGAAGAAACAGAGAGCAAGAAGCTGTGGAAGGAAGCAGGGAGTTAAAAAAAAGATACTTTATATTACTTATTATGAAATCAACAGATTCTCAGGGATTCAGTCCAAAAAGGCAAGTACTGTAAAGAAGAAGGATGAGTTTTCAATATACGTATTTGATTTGACTTGATGGTTTAGCAATTGTGCAATTGAAGAGTTTGGCATACAGCTTTGATAGACGTTTGCAGTAGGTCTGAGTGAATTTGGAATTTCCCAGGAATAGGGTAAAATAGCTAACAGCCTCTTTAAAATCTATTCTGGAGAAAGAATCCTTTGTGAGTGTTTGAAAAAAGCAGAAAAACGACAATAAATTCTCTGAGGACTCTAAGTGAGATGTAAAAGAAGAATGCAGACATAAGAAATGCTTGGAGGACTCTGTGTCATGTAAGCAGGCTGCAAGAAAGGAAATAAGTAGAGAAGGCAGGTGAGAACTTTTCATCCAGACTTTGAAATTGTCACCTTTGTGTTTTGCCATGTTCCTGTCTCGGCAGAATGAACTGATATTCAACCTGGAACCAGAAAATGAAAGTGCAGTTACTGAGTTCATCCTAGAGGGTTTCTCAGGACTTGATCAAGGACTACAGCTATTTCTCTCTCTGGTCCTTCTGCTCACGTACCTTACAACAGTGATGGGGAACACAACCATCATTTTCCTCGTGTGTGTGGATCACCGCCTGCAAATTCCCATGTGCTTTTTCATCAGTCATCTGACCTTCCTGGAAATCTGGTTTGCATCCTCCACGAGCATCAAATTGTTGGTGATCGTGGGCTCTGGAAGAAGCACAATCTTACGAAACAGCTGCTTTGCTCAATCCTATTCCTATTCTGCCCTGGGTTGTACAGATCTTGTTCTACTTGTTGTCATGTCCTTTGATCGCTACGTTGCCATCTGCCAGCCTTTGCATTAGGCTGCCATCATAAAGCCTCAGCTCTGCATCCGCCTGGCTGTTGCTGCTTGGGTAACAGCCATCACACTCTCAAGTTACCGTCTGGTCCTCCTCTACAAGTTGAGGTTCTGTGGCTCGGAAAAGATCCCCCATTTTTTTTTTTTTTGTGACAAATCGTCCTTATTCAAATTGTAGTGTTCTGACACCAGCCTGCTTTGGAAAACAGACTCTGTTATCCTGTGTCACACTGGGTTCCTTATGCTTAACTCCTTGGGCATCCTTTTCAATATTCTACACTTGCCAGACAACTCTGGAAGGAAAAAAGTTTTACTACATGTTCTTCTCATCTCACCACCTTCGCCATTGTCTATGGGAGCTGCATCGCTCTCTATGCGCATCCTTCTGAAGATGTTTTCGTGGAGAAAAACAGAATTGTAGCTTTGCTGAACACCGTCCTGTACCCATTCTTAAATCCCTTCATCTACAGTCTTAGAAAAAAGACTGTGCCACTGGCCCTGTCATTGCCCATGCAGCAGCACAGTTTTTCCCCTAACCAGGATGCCTTTCTGGACAGCTGTTCCAATGAGCTGCTGTCATATATTAAATACTACCAATGCATATGTACAGAACCTTCAAACACAGACAGCTCAGGAGACTGCTGTTCCTTTTAGCTTGGATCAGTGAAGAGAAGCTCATTTGCACACACAAAGGCACAAACAGTGACACGAGGTCCATCCCCCGGCTGCTCCGTGCCCCATCACAGGAATGTCACCAGCTCCTCAGAAGCCCATCTTCACAAACCAAGAAGAGCACAGAGGCACAGTGGCAAGTGGGAACCCAAATGACAGGCTTCTTAGGAATGAGCATTTTAGAATCATAGAATGGTTAGGGTTGGAAGGGACCTCAAAGATCATCTAGTTCCAACCCACCTGCCATGTGCAGGGAAACTCTCCACTACACCAGGTTTTCCAAAGCTTCATCCAACCTGGCCTGGAACACTTCCAGGGATGGGGCATTTACAATTTCTCTGGGCAACCTGTTCCAGTGCCTCATTTCCCTTTTAGTGAAAAATGTCTTCCTTATATCTAATCTAAATCTCGCCTCTTTCAGTTTGAATCCATTGCCCCTTGTCCTATCACTACCCGCCTTTGTAAAAAGTCCCTCTCCAGCTTTCCTGTAGGCCCTCTTTAAGTACTGGAAGGCCGCGATAAGATCACCCCGGAGCCTTCCCTTCTCCAGGCTGAACAGTCCCAACTCTCTCAGCCTGTCTTCATAGGAGAGGTCTTCATAGGAGAGGTGCTCCAGCACTCGCATCATCTTCATAACCTCCAGTCCCGCTCCAGCGGCTCCATGTCCTTCTTGTGCTGGGACTCCAGAGCTGGACTCCAGGTGGGGTCTCACAAGAGCAGAGCAGAGGGACAGAATCCCCTCCCTTGACCTGCTGCCCACGCTGATTTGGATGCAGCCCAGGACACGATTGGCTTTCTGGGCTGCCAGCACACATTGTCGGCTCATGTTGAGCTTCTCATCAACCGTTTTGTCCCAGCCCCTTTCAGGGCTGCCCTGGGAGAGCCATCAGCCTTGTTGATACTTGTGCCTGGCTTTGTTTCATCCCGGGTGTAGAATCTGGCATTTGGTCACATCAAGACCAACCACTGAGAGCAACTTTCTGGTTCACCATTTGGAGTAAGGGAATTGTTGCTGACGGGTTTAGGACACATTCTAGGATGCAGAGGAAGAGCATTTTTGGATTGCACAGAATTTCTTATGGGATGTTTAGAGGAGGAGCCTGACCAGTGCAGTCTTATCTTTTCTTCTCATCAAACTTAATTTCGAACTTATTCTTGTGTGAGGAAGTCTCTCTTCTGCAGGAACGTGTGAGAACAGCGGTGTGAGTGCAGAACGGGAGCAGGACAAGGGAGCCAGACAGTCCATATGTCATTAGAGCCACAAAGTGAGAGACCAGTATGAGTGAACTTGAGAGAGTGTGTGTGTGATTGGGGTGGTCTATATCAGCATCTGGAATTAGGATGCAGCCTTAGGGGATTGTATGTTTAGGTGCCTGCAATGAGGGAGGCTGGTATCCAGGGGCAGCTATTGAGGAGACTGAGTATCCAAGCCCAGCTGCTGGAGGGATCCACTATGTACTGGCATATAGGTAGAACAGAACCGTTCAGTTGGAAGGGACATACAATGATCACCTTGTCCCAAAACCTGAACACTTCAGGTATGAACAAAAGACAGATTATGTTATTAAGGGCATTGTCTAAATGCTCCTTAAACACTGTCATACTTAGGACGTAGACACCTCTCCAGGAAGCCTGTTCCAACTTTTGACCACGCTCTTGGTAAAGAAATGATTCCTAATGTCAAGTTGGCACTTCCTCTGACACAGCTTTGAGCCATTCCCATGCATCCTATCGCTGGATATCATGACAAGAGCTCAGCACCTCCCTCTGCAATTCTCCTCCTCAGCAAACTGTAGCCAGCAATGATGATTCCATGATAATCTCTTTTGACTGGTTATACTGTGCTTGATGGACCCAAGGATGCAGTTTGCCCTCTCGGCTGCCAGAGCACACTGCTGACTCACATTGAGCTGCTGCCAACCAGCAAACCCGAATCCCTGTCTGCAGGGCTGCTCTCCAGCCGTTCCTCTCCCAGTCGATACTTGCGCCTGGCTTTGTTTCATCCCAGGTGTAGAATCTGGCATTTGCTCTTTTTAAACATGATGAGAGTGCTCTGCTCTGGGTCATGGATACAGGTGTTAAACTGAACAGGGCCGAGGAGCGTTCCCTGTGCTGCCCCAGCATGTCCCAGTCTGTACCCTCGGTAATTCCACGCTGACAGTGTTTGAACGTATTTTTCTCTCTTATGTGCCCAGAAATGTCACCCAAGAGGACTCTAATTGATGGCACACTCCTCATCCGCACGTCAGCTTGTACAGCCAGGGCTTCCCTGGGTTGCACTTCTGGCCTCTTTCAAAGAACAGTGCAACACTTGCTTCTCCTCTCTCACAAGAGAACTCAACCAATGTCATGGCCTTTGGAAAGGGATATTCTAAAGAAATGTCAATCTTGCCCTGTAAGCTCATTACCACTCTTCTGCCTGTTATACGGTGTATTCAATTTATCTAATCTTTCACACATTTTCACCTGTTCCGATACAATGACCTTTTCTAAAGTCAGCTTTTCAGATGCAGACTCTCTAGCCAAAGGCTATTTCTAGTAGATCCCAGTTTTCTCCTGTCCTTACTCTTTGTTCCTTCAGATTACTGTCACCTGTCCAGCTGCTGCTTTGAGCTTCAAGCAGTTAAACGTGTGCTTGTCTTTAAATAGACTAATTAGCTCCTTTAGCCAGCTCTTTACCTTTGTTTATTTCTCTCTTTTTGTACCTGTTTATCTGAAGAATTTCTGATAAGATTATCTCTTGCAGAAAAGCAACCTCATTAGAGACAGCTTGTCCTTAGCATATGTGTGTTTTATTGTTTATGAAACTTTATCATGTTTTCCTTTTCTTTCCTTGCAAAGGAAAGTCCTGCTGTGCCTGTGTGCAGCCAGTTCTCTAAGGAGAGCAGGTGGGAGGTGGTGCGATGAAACTGTATCATCCAGCTTCAGACTTCAGTGGAGAAGTCTGATGTAAGGAAAAGGAATGTAAATCCCAGGTGGTCAATGACAGAGATGGTGAGGTTAGGGCAGGTGAGGAGGGACATTATATGTACAGTTTCAAACCTCAAGGGACTGCTTTTCCTTCCTGTCCAGACCTCCAGAGGAGACCCTCTGGATCAGCTGAGCATTTCTATAACTTCACTGATGTCTCTCCGACCTCACCACTTGTTCCTTGAAACATAAAGCTATGCGTTGACCTGTGCTCTCTCTGGGTAACCTCTTGCACCACAATGTTACCCTTTGAGTGAGATTTGTTTTTCATCACAAGCAGTCTGAACCTTCCTGCTCTTTGTTGAGGTTTTCTTCTCTTCCGACTACCAAGAAAAGCCCCATCATCTCTGGAGCCACAATTTAAGCAGTTGCCAGCTCCTGCTATAGAGCCCTGGTACTCCACTTCAAAAGCTACAATAGCCCAGGTCCCTCAGCTTCTCCATACAGGTGCCAAACCCCATCCTGGTACATCTCTGGAGCCTCTCCTGTGACTCTGCATGCCTTCAGAACAGGGAGCCAAACACACAGACGCACAAGTCCAGATATGACCACACCAGTGACGAGTCAAGGGGGCTGATAATTGCCTGTCTGGGTGGCCACGCTGCCCCAGTGCACCCCTGTGTGCATACTCACGGTCTCTGCATGCCTCACGGGCTAATGTGGCATCCCTCCTAACGCCCAGGCCCTTCTCCTCAGGGTCACTCCTCAGCCAGTCAGATCCCACCGTGCCCTCATCTGGGGGTTATCCTGCCCCCAGTAAAGGACTGGAAACTTCTCCTTGTAAAACTTTGTGGGTGTTCTCTTTGTCAAAACCCAGAGTGTTTCAGGGTCCCCCAGGAATGGAGCTCCATTGGGCCACCTGTTAATGTGTGTGTGCAGAAGGCTCACCCTGATGCATGGTGTCTGGAGCTGCTGCCGGGAGAGCAGCTCCGCTCCCAGAGCGGTGAGCTGGGATGGGGAGAGCAGCTCCGCTCAAGGAGCCCTAAGCTGTGACGGAGAGAGCAGCTCTGCTCCTAGAGATGGGAGGTGAGGTGGGGAGAGCAGATCCGCTCTCCACCTGTGAGCTGGGTTGCGGAGAAAAGCTCCGCTCCCAGAGCCGGGAGCTGCGGTGGAGCGAGCAACTTTGCTCCAGTGCCGAGCTCTGGAATGGGGAGGGCAGCTCCACTCCCAGAGCTGGGAGTTGCCGTGGGAAGGGTCGCAGCTGGAGGGAGTGATCCACGAGTCATGGGCAAGGCATTGATGGCCCATTAACAGAAAATGGTCTGGGAGGAGGAGGCAAGGGAAACATTGCCCCACCTGGTCTCAACAGCTCATGAAGACAGTGATAGAAAACATACTTTTGGGCACATCTTACGTCATAACCTAGGACATAATCCACCCCTTATTCTATTACCGCCTGCATCATACTCAAATCAATATCCTCTTACAGAGAGATATTTATATAGAGAGAGATACAGAAGGAAAAAAACCAAAACCAAATCACCTTACATACAGTTCTCACTTCAAATCAGGTCTCCTTGTGGTACACAACGTGTTTCCCCATCCTTCTGCATTACCCACCAAGTGTAACCAGGTCCTTGAGCAAAAACAATCCCACGGATGGGTTTGCCTTTGTCTGAGGTGGGATTAATCCAAACAGTCTTTCCTAACATACCTCTCATGTGCACCACAGGGACTTTATCTCCATCCACTGTGTGCAAGGGTTCAGATTGGGCGGGACCAGCTCGATTGACGGACCCTCGGGTATTGACCATCCAGGTGGCTTTTGCTAAGTTCATTTCCCAATTTCTGAAGGTTCCCCCACTAAGTGCCTTCAGGGTAGCCTTAAGCAGTCCATTACACCGTTCAACCTTCCCGGCAGCTGGTGCATGGTAAGGGATATGATATATCCATTCAATATCATGTTCTCTGGCCCAGGTGTTTATAAGACCATTTTTGAAATGGGTCCCGTTGTCTGATTCG